ATCTTACATTAATTTTAAAAATCAGGTTGTAAAGAAAGAAAATCCTTTCTCTACCTGTTCTTGGGATTATTCTTCCTTGTGGAAGTTAGTGTTTTTAAAAGCCTTATTTTCAATGAAGTGTATTCTCATAGCGTTAGACAGGATGACTTCTTGAGCCTTGTGAGATAAACCCCAGGGTAGCTAGTTCACCTGAGCTTCCTCTCCTCCTAGGCCACCCTCTATAAGATACAGCTTCCCTAGGGCTTTTTTGGAACTTGTTATTTATCCGTCATCCTTTTAAAAGTTTCAAATGGAAGGCAGAGTATTTGCATTAAACACTAATGCAAGCGTAAAAAATAAAGTTTCATAAACCAGATCATTGGAATTGGTGTTTTTAAAGCCTCGTTGAAAATAATGTTCTTACTTCATGAACTGGTGTTTTCTTTTTATATGCTTCATGTAGATGAATGGACAGAGGTGGACAGAAAACGAGGTATGCTATCTCTGAGCTGCATGTATTCAGTCTGCATCCACAGGTTCACTCAGTCCTTCATCAATGGGGCTTAAAGTGGGACCACTCTAAATATTTCCAAATAAAAGAACAGGCGTGAGTTTCTCTCTAGCAGAGACACTGGTTATACATTTGAATCTTTTACTTATATAAGTGCAGCATATAAGGATGAAACCCAAGCAAACGTTGGCCAAAAGACCATATTGCACCTGAGGTATTGGTCTCTTTTCATCAGTTCCAAGCTTTGCAAGGACAGCTGGGGCAGCAGCTACATTTCTGGGTAGGCTGTCCTATTTAGTAGTCCTTAAAACAATTCTGTGACCGTATCGTGTAGCTAAAGAGCTGTTCTCCGTAGCACACAGAGAAAAATGGAAGCACTGAGAAAAATGGAAGCCTGTTTAGGGCAGGAGGTTGGGATATATAGCTCAGTGGAAGAGCACATGCTTAGCATGCATGAGGTCCTGCGTTCAATCCCCAGTACCTCCATTAAAAAATAATAATAAATTTGTTTAAATGGAAGCCCATGGCTGCATGGCCACCAGGATGGCAGGCAGAAGGCATGATACACACCCACTGTGGCCTTATTGTGCTAGGTCTTCAGTTTCCCCTTCACCCCCAACTAGCAGCAAACCTGAAAAAGTTACCAATTCCTCAGAATAAAACCTTACAGACTTTCTCAACTTTAAATGTGGCAAGTACCTCCCATCATTTGACATTCGGGTGTAGTTTATGCATGTCTCTCACCACACCAAGTATGCTGAGCAGATAATATATATAACATTTAAGAGCGCAGGCAGTAGCATCAAACAACCCCATCCTAATTTCAGTGTCACCATCTGCCTCTCTAAGGCTCAGTTTTCCTCCCTGATAAAATAGGATAATAATTCAGAGTTGCCTTGGGGTTTAAATAAGATAATGCGTGGAAAGTTCTAAGCCCAGTGCCTAGAACATAATAAGGCTTCAAAACATGGTAACCATCTAGAAGTCATAGCTTCTGTTTTACCCTTGGTTGTAAATGTGTGTTCCCATAAACAATAACGTTTACAGCAGAGGTAGTTGCTAAAAATTCAATACCTTTCAAGAGAATTATTTCATCATGCCAGGCTTGAAGAAAAGCCCAAAGTGCCTGATACGCTTTTATAATAATATGTCATAGCACTTCCCTTGAGCAATTTTTGACTCACCTCTTGATGCATGGCAGAATTTCCCAGCGAGAAGTGTAGATTTTGAAGGCTTTTTGTAAATGCGATTAAACCACTGGAGTTTATCTTAAGCATTCAAAAATAATGAGGGGAAACTGACTTCACGCTCTGAACCCCAGATTATAAGCCTGGTGTGTTAAGAACTCAGTTACTGACCCTTCGATGCACCTATGAAAAAATCACCCCAATACCTGGCCTTCATCTCCTGATGAAACCTGGCTCCTAGTACATTCCTGCCTCATGAAATTACGCAGAGGTCACGTGAGTGCCGAAAACTAACACCAAGACCGACCGAGAGGTCTGGTTAAAACTATTTCTCAGGTTTGAGTTAAATGCGACGTGGGGGCCTACTCTAGGGCGAGGACATTTATTTCATCTTTGGGTCTGGTGTTTATCTCAGTGTCTGGTGTATAGTAGGTCCGCATCAGCCAAGTGCCAGGTGAAGCACGCTGTGAGAAATAAGCATGTTAATTCATGTCCCCATGCTCTTTCCAAAGAATTAAATGAGAGTTGGAGCCCTGGGTGCCAGAGCCCAGCCATAAGACTGCCACTTCCTCTTGGGGGCATTTGTGTTCACTGCTCTGCCCACAGGGACAGGGCCTGCTGCGCTGTCTTTCCAGCAGGTGAACTTTCTGGAAGTTCTCGTGCAAGGAGCCATGGTGCTATATAGCTTATTCACTTCCCAGGGGGAAAGACTTCACTTTGCTTTTTACTATGCCAGAGTGGCTAACAATCGCCTTGGGATTTTCTTTCTTTTAGAACTGATTTACTTGGGTCTCAGCTATTTTTCTAGCTCCTGCTAAAGGCTCAGAGACCCTAGAGAAATGACTCGGCCTCTGAGAGAATGTAAGCGTGCACTTGATCAGAGCTTATGTGGTCCTTTAACTTGAATTCTTCCTTTTTGGCACTCCTCCCTGGCCTACATAAACCTGTGGAGAATTCTTCAAATTCTCTCATCTGAGGCCTTATATGTGACTTTCCAGTTGTACCTATTTCCTTGCAAATTCTGCATTTTATATAGGCCGCGGTAAGAAAAATGTGAGGAAGCCCAGTTTACTACAGGTCCCTACTTGTTTAGGTCGAAGGCGAAAGGCTGTGCTTGGGGCAAAGTGGGAAGAGTTGGTCTGTCTCCAGGTTGTCCCTGCTGGGGAGGGGTTAGTGCACGTGGAGGCAGGCTGCCGTGGGTTGGGGTTGTGGGTTGTCCGATGGGAGGGATACCCCGTGCTGGTGATGGGTCTGGTCCTTCCTTACTAACGGGATGGCGTCCACAGTAAAATCCAGAGGTCAAGTGTGAGTTCAGCACTTCTGGAAGGAGTCACAGTCAGTTCTTTTGTGTCACGGTGGGCGTGGGGAGGGGGTGTTTCGTTCCCCCATTCCTCCTCTCTAGCCCTTCCATTTAAGGTTCACATACAACTAGCCCTCAGCTCCTGGCTTCTCCCCAAAACTGCTCTTCGAGATGCTTTAAAATACTGGCCTGAGCCCTCAGGGTACTTTTAGCAATTACTTAAAGGTGGAGAGGGTGCCTGAAATCTTGACCTTGTCTTCACTTGCTAAGACACAAGGCCACAGCCAGTCACCTGGTGTGTCCTTCGTGTGGCAAGAGAAAGAGGCGTCTGTCTCTTTCAGTAATAATCACTCATGTTTAACGGTTGATTTTGTATAATTATTTTAAGTAACCAGTTTTCTTTCAGCTTTTAATTACTACGAATGCATGGTCTCAGCATCCATATACGATCACCATTAGGCCAGAAAATATCTGGCTTAATTAAGAATAATCTGTGTTCAACCATACCTGTTGTTGTTCCTCGTACCAAAGGGTTTTCCTAGCCCTCAAGTAACGTTATTTGAGTAGCACAAAATATCTAAATGAATCAGTGAATGAAGAACTAGCATTATAAATCCTTTGGTTTGCACACATCTTGGGACCTTTTATTCTCACCACGTGCAAATTTTCCATCTGAAAAACAGTGCAAGACATATATGACTGTTACAGTATAATATCAATATTATAGATCAAATACAGAAAGTAAATTTTTAGGCTTCCTAAAATGGTGTTAATCTGAAGTACACTTGTAGAAACATTAGAAATGTTTTCAGCTCTAACCAGTGGGTAGCCTTGTCTATTTTTTAAACCATTTTGCTAAAAAAAAAAAGTCAATTACCATTATAGGTCCCATTTTTATAAAATTTGTTTTTAAGTAAAAATGTTATAGACTTGCTAAACAAACAGACAAAACAATAGTGATGCTGTTTTTCATTTTAAAATAAAACTCTAATCTAAAATGCTTATAGGAATCTTTTTTAGAGAAAAAAGATACTTTCTTCTTCTTCTATCTTCTTTCTCTAGAACTAGAATTATAGATCCTTGGTTTGCACACACCTTAGGACCTTTCTCTATTTTCTTTGTCTTTAGAGACCCTAGAGAAATGACTCAGCATTTCTTCTTTAGAGACTCAGTGTTTCTTCTTTCTCTTCTTTCTTTAGAGAAAGAAGAAAGATTTCCCCTCTCATCAAGTGAGATAATGTGTGTGAAAGTTTGTAACCCCTGAAGCACAGCACACTTGTACTTTGTCTCATTTATGTTTGCCCTGAGATGGTCTCATAAAACACTCTGGACCCTGCTTTCTCCTGGGGCATCTGTGTGGTTTTTCCCCGGGGAGCAGCTCTCACTAACGATATTCACATCCCCCCTCTACTCAGGCCCAGATCCTCCATTCCATTCGTATAGAGACCGTCTCCTGAATAAAGCTTCCTCTGATACCTCACTTAGCTGCGTTCTCTCGTCTCTCCAGTTCTGAATGACATCATCTCAACCATGTTCAACAGAAAGTTTATGGAGGAATTGTTCAAACCCCAAGAGCTCTACAGCAAGAAGGCCCTGAGGACTGTCTACGACCGCCTGGCTCATGCCTCCATTATGAGACTGAACCAGGCCAGCATGGATAAGGTGAGCAGACAGCTGCCTCTGTCCTCTGGCCTGCATTTCTTGTGGATGAGCCTAGACTGGAATCAAATGAGGTGATGTAGGCAGTGGTGCCTGGGAAAAGAACAGGCACTTGTCAAAGAGTCGTTCTTGAGCTTCCGAGTTGGGAGGACTTCAGAAGTCATCCGCACTGACCCCTCCGTTGTTTATGTCATTCCACCTGCCCAAAGAGAGTGCTGGTCTGCATGCCTGTATTTATGACCACCTCAACCCAACACAAGCATCCAACCCTAATTAAAAGCTTTAATTCTGCTTCCTTCTTAACAAATCTCAGCTCTGCAAACCAGGAATTTTTTCAAAAGCAAATTTCAAAACTGCTCAACTTTACTTATAATGTAAACATATCTGTTCCGTTGTGAAACAAATTTTTAGGGTACTCTGATTTTAGAAGTAAGAATTCCAATAAGCAATGGCAGAGAATTAATAAATCTCTTGTTCAGAAGAATTCCAAACACTTATATAGGTCTCTGCCCTCGAGGAGAGAGAGCGTAACTCCCTACTCCTTGGATGTGAGCTGCACTTGGTGACTTCCTTCCAAAGAGGACAGTATGGAAAGAAGGGGGGAAACAGCCAGCTTCACAGTGGAGGAACATGACAAACATGACCTCAACCAGGGCATGACATCAACAGTGATAAGCTACGTGGTGGTACCCTGATTTGATGTGACGAGGATAGCACTCCACCTCCGTGATCGTCCTCCCAAACACCCACAACCCCAGGCTAATCATGGAAAAAAACCGTCAGGCAAATACCATTCAGAGGTCATGTTACAAAATAATACCTGACCAGTAGTCAGAACTGTCAAGGCCGCCAGAAACAAGGAACTCCAGAGAAACTGCCACAGCCAGTAGGAGCCTAAAGAGATATGATGACCAAATGAAATGTGGGGTCCCGGAACAGAAATAAGACGTTAGTGGAAAACTAAAAAGATCCAAGTAAAATATGAACTTGAGTTAATTTTTTTTAAATAATTACAATAATAGTAATTCCTTTTCAATCCCCTTCATTATGTTAATTTTTAAAAACCATGAGGACTGATGGTGCTAGGTGTGCAAAAATCAACACTGTCTTATTGCTAGTACCTGGAAACCTTAGACAGACTGGCTTTAGCTATGCCCTCTTGCTCCTGCCACTTACCTTTAGAAAGTGACTATATCTCCTTGAGCCTCCATTTTCCCTTCTGTAAAATGGGGATAATAATAGCTGCTTCATCCATTACTAGGAGGACTAAGTGAGAAACCTATATAATGACACACCTAGGCCTGGCACATAGTAGATGTTTAATAAATGTTCATTATCTTCTCTGCTTGTTCCCCTCCCTCTGCCTTTAAGGTTTAGGTTTGCAGAACGAAAGGACACAGAATTTGGAATCGGGGGAAGGGTTTAGTTCAGTGGTAGAGCGTATGCTTAGCATGCACAAGGTCGTGGACTCAATCCCCAGTACCTCCTTTAAAAATAAACCTATTACCAACCCCCCAAAATAGAATTTGGAGTCAAAAAACCTAGGTTCAAGTTTTATCTCTCCCAGTAGCTGTGAGACCCAATTTGCTGAATAACCCTGAGCTTTCATTTCTTCATCTTATTCCTGTTTTTATCCATTATTCCTAGCAGTGTCCTGTATGCAACAGGTACTTAATATTTGATAATGATGGTGGAGAGTCTCAAATCTACAGCTCTGGATTATATACCCCTGTGACCACACCCCTGACACACACCCCAGGCTGCTCCTGTTGTATGCCACTTTCGAAGTGAAATGTTTAGCTGCATGTTGGAGAAATGGGATTGCGTAGAGGGTTCTAGCAAGGGTATCAGGATTTGACCATCTTTAGTTCAAATCTCATTCTGCTACTCACTACCAGCTATGTGGAATTAGGCAAGTTTCATCATTTTTAATCTTGGGGTAATAAGCTACCTCACAGAGTTCTTGTGAAAATTAAATGGGGTCAAATGAGGTAATCCTTATGTATGTGCTTGGCACAGCACTGAGATGGCTGTAATTTAATTTCCAATCCCATCTCAGACGTGTCCATAACTCATCTCCCAAACTGGCTCCCCCCACTGCCCCTGCCAGACTTCCCCGTCTCAGTCAGTAGCATCATGTGTGTCTCCCAGGCACTAAGCTGAAAGTGCTGTGGTCATTTTAAACAGCCCTCATCTTCATCCCCCAGATCCAGTCAGGCACTCACCGTGTACTGACAGCTTTCCTCCTGAGTATCACGTACTCTTCTTTCCCCAGCCTTGTCCATTCCCACTGTCTTTACTCCAGGCCTTCTGTCTGGGTTACTCCTGTTGCGGAAAAATGTGTTACAGCTCCGTGTTATATAGCTCAATGTTACAGCTCAGTTGTGACAGCAACCTGGATCCCCGCAGCACTCAGAGAATTGGAGAACTCAGGTTTATTAAGCAAGCAAGCCCAGAAAAGTTAACACTCCAAGCTCTGGAACCCAGGTGTAGGTTTATACAGGCCTTTATAGGCTGCGAGTTTTACACTTTGCAACGTCATATGCAAATAAAGTATAACAGAAGTTGACCAACCAGGAACAAGCTTTGTAGGAATAGACCAATCAGGAGTGAGAGAAGTAACCAATCAGGAGTGAGCTCCATGCAAATGAAGTACTACAAATGGACCAATCAGAAGTGAGAATAATAACCAAACAGGAGTGAAGGAAATAACCAATCAGAAGTGAGTTCAGGGAACCAACAGAATTTTAGGGGTAAGCTATTTCAGAGGCAAAAAGTGAGAGAGAGCCTCTGGGCCAGGGAACCAGATGGTGCCAGCAGGAGAGTAGTGGCGCTGCTTGGGGGCTCTGCCAGTTTTTTTATGGGGCTTCCCGCCTCACTCCAACAGAATGTCTTTCATTCATACAGTCAGGAGATACTGCAAACCTCTTAGGAGCCCAGCACCAGCTAACCTTCCTCCCCCCTGCTCTCAACATCTCATCATCCCCAGACTCACTAATCTCGCTTAATTACCACTTTTATCACGTCAGCTCAGGAAGTTTCAGTAGCCCCTAATTCCTACCACATCTAATCTAAATTATTCTGTCTGCCTTTCTAAAACCTTTAGTATTCTAATCTTGCCATAATTATCCACCTTTATTTCCCAACATCCCCAACACAAACCATCCCCTTTAGTCAGGCTGCTGTGCTCCTTCTCCCAGAAAAAGAGCATTATCCATGGCGGCCTCCGGCCCCTCACACATGCTATTCCCCTCAACTAGAATGCCTTTCCCCTCCCTCAGCCTGTTCGAACCTGCCTCGAGTTCACATCAGGCCCACTTCTTCCACAAAGCCTATCTTGACCACTTTGATCCTCACCAGTTTCTCACCTCTGACCATCAGAGGTGGTCACAACACATGTAGGACTTGTTGATATCTTATTAAATATTGTTCATCATTTTAAATTGTTCTCATACAGTCATAGAACTTTATTCTTGTCGTTTTCACACATGTCATCTCATTTACTCCTCTCGGTGATTCTGCAACGTTGGAAAATTAGGGAGTAGTTTTTACACATGAGAAAACTCAGGCTCAGAGAGGTGAAGAGACTTGGCTTGAGCCATCAAGTCAGCAGCAGCAGAGGGCTTGAATTCGAGTTTTCATTCTCCAAGTCCAGCACCAGTTCCAGGGCCCCACAGCTGCCCAAGCTGACCAGAAATCCTGGTTTTCTCAGAAATGTCCTGGCTTACTCCTGTAGTCCTGGCTTAATTGTTAATGTCACCCCCTTTTACTCTCAAAAGTGTCTTGGTTTGCGTGATAACTAGATATGGTCACTGAGCTGTAAGGTAAGCCCAGAACTGGTTTCTAGTAAGTGCCTGACTGAGTCATTGTTGGGAGGTTCTGATTTCTGCCTTTATGGTCCTCTTTCTTTTGTTCATCTCTGGGTTGGCAGCTCTATGACCTGATGACGATGGCTTTCAAATATCAAGTACTGCTGTGTCCTCGTCCCAGGGATGTGTTGCTGGTCACTTTCAATCATTTAGATGCCATCAGGGGATTCATCCAAGACTCCCCAACCATCCTGCATCAAGTGGATGAGACTTTCCGGCAGCTGACTGAAGTAAGCATGTCACCAGTTTATCACCTCTCAGCCCCAGTACCTGTTCTCACTCCTCTGTTAAGAACAGGCTGAGTCAGCAGGGAGGGTATAGATCAGGGGTAGAACACATGCTTAGCACAAAGTCCTGGGTTCAGTCCTTAGTACCTCTACTCAATAAATAAATAAGCTTAATTTCCTCTCCACCCCAAAAAAAAGAACAGGCAGAGTCCAAGACAAAGAGAACAGGGTGAGGAATGACAACGCCTGCCACTGTCCCAGAAAATTCTAAAAATCTACAGGTGTCCATTTTGGTAAGACAGTAGATGTTATCACCTTCCACCCTCTCACCGTTGCCTTCATAACTGGGAAAGCAATGATAAAGAGCATAGCTATTTTCTCCTAACTTTTCCAAAAGGGAGTTGGTGGTGGATGTTCTGTGAAATCTTGTGGACTGGGAGAGTTGACGTGCACCCCACTCAGTGTGCCGTGGTGAGGTTGGTGGCTCTGGTGAGGGAGCAGTGCCAGCCCTCCTGCCCCAGCAGCTGAGTCTTCTCCTTACTTTCTGGCTCCCATCCCTGAGCACCCCCCACCCCTGCCTGTCTGCACTTCCCATGGCACTTCTGAAATTGGAATGCTTCTTTCTGCCTTGCCTCTGGCAGACATATGGGCGGCTCTCTGCCGGGGAGTTCCAGATGATCCGGCAGACACTCCTCAGCTTCTTCCAGGACCTGCACATTCGGGTGAGTGAGTGGGCAGCCCCGGGAGCACCCTGCCACTGCTGTCAAGGGAGATAGGGTGCAAGTCTTCAGGGCAGACAGGGCTGGGATTCTGCCCAATTAGCAACGTCCTCAGTGTTTTGCTGCATGACAGTAACCTTTCTGATGACCAATCTCAGCTGTTTTTAAATAGACCAAGGGAGACAGTGATGACACCATTCCTTCCCAGTTATCTTATGTGTTTCTTTAAAATACGGTTTCTTCCCTGGCTTCTCCAGGCCAGCAGCCTGATCTTAATTCTAAAACCTTTTCTTGAGCCTTTATCATCTTGACTTCTCCAGGATCTGAGCTGTCAGGACGCTGCCTTCCTGCTCCATGAAAAGCTCGCCTCTCCTGGGCTTTCATGGCATCATACCATCCTGGCCTTCACTCATCTCTCCCATCTCTCTGTCTTTCACTCCTTCCTCCCCGTCTTCCTGTCTCCAGCTCTCCCCTCTTCTGCCTCTACCCACCCCCTGCTCTTTCCTCCCTACTTTGACTACCAACTCCTCCACATAAGACTCCTGCATCTAACTTCTACCCACCCTTGCCCCAGCTCTGCCATCCAGCCCCACATCGCCCCTACTTGCTGAGGCACTCTACCAGTGCCCACAACCGAGTGTCTACAGCTCAACTAGTCTCCAGAATCAAGACCAGCTCAACTTCCTGATTCCTATTGAAGACTCCGCCATTCGCTCATTCATTCAGCTCAGAACCAAAGTGTCACCTTTGATTTCCCTTCTCTGATATTCATCTAATTGCTAATAAGGCCAATCGAGTTGGCCTTTTCAATCTCCATGCCCTCCTTTCCATTCCTGTCACCACTAGCCCTGCCCAGGCCTTCATGCTTCATGTTGGCGCTTACCTTCCAAATGACCCTACCTCCTCCTTTCATGCCTGCTCCAGACAGTTCTATACCCTGACTTGGAAAACACATTCTGAGCTTCTGAATTTGGGACCTGTCTGTCTTAGACAGGACTTTGTTCCCTCCCAAAATTTAACACACTGATATGGGAAGGATGGTTGATACGGCAAAATGAGCCCAGGCTCCAGAGTCAGGCACCCTGGTGTTTGAATCCCAGCTCCAGCACAGCTCCATGACCTTGGGCAAATTACTTCTCTAGAGTCTTAATTTTGCCATTTGAAAAATGGAAACAATAATACCTAATTTAGAGTTTGTCAGGAGGATTAAGTGAAGCAGCACATGTAATACACATGTATTTGCTTGTCCTATATATAGACACACACATACACTCTCTCTGTATGTAACACACAATAGAGTGCTTCTGGAAGGAAGGACAGGAAACCTGTCACAGTGGTTGCCTCCTGGGAGTGGGAGCTACATGGGTGACAGGGGTACAAGAGAGAGTTACATTCCCTTGCATACCCTTTGAACCTTTTGAATTTTGTACGTGTGTGTATAACATAGTTATAAAATAAAAATTTTTTAGAAAGAAGAAATAGAGCATGCTTAGAACCTGATTGTTAGTTCCCTTCCATGAACAAAGAAAGACAAATAGATTTCAATACTGGTGCCAATTTTATTTTGAACCCTCATGAATAATTTCAGTTGCTATGGATGGAGCAATGATAACATCAATATAAATTAAGATTAAAATTAAAAATATGAAAGTACAAATAAGATTAACTTTTGCGTTGCTATAAAATATTGAAAACTCTGCATCATATTATCGTCAAAACTGTGCACGTTTGGACATTGTTTTATGGATTGTAGTAATATAAACAGCTATATTGATTTCTCAATTCTGACAAGATAAAATTCATTATAATGAAAAGACGTTCCTAATAATAAATCTATAACAAAATCATTCAAATATATTAAACCGCAAAATATATTAAGCTTTACTTGCTAAATGGGCAGGCAATGAAACAATAGGAAGTTCATCAAGAGAAACAGGAATCACATATCCTGACATTCAGCCACTGATCTGTAACATCTGGCTGGTTTTCCAAATCTGCTCTCTAATGTTTTTTTGGCTCAGCTGCAATTTGTGATTGCCTGTACAGATTTTCTCTGTGTTCAAAACAGTCTTGATAGTTTTGAGATTTGTTAGCAAAACCAGCTAACTAAATCAAGAGTACACAGCTCTGACCTAACAATTCCTTGCTCATTGTTTAACCAAAGCAAGTACAAAACTCCTCATCGTAATGTCCAGAATTTTCTGTGATTTCACAAAATAGCCTGAGACTGGATGTGGGGATTGAGCGAAAGAAGAATGAAGAACAACTGCTAAGTTCTTGGTGCCATTTTCTGAGTAGAGAAAGGACTGAAGGGAAGTATATTTGAGTAGAAAAAGGAATTAATTCTATTTAGGTTTAATTTGCCTTTTAGACCTCCAAGTGGCAAAGTCATGTCAGCAGGTGAATATCTAAACCTGGAGCTCAGAGGAGAGAGCCAAGCTGGAGAGAGAAACGTGGGGATCGTCAGCATACAGCAGAGAGACAGTATTCAAAGTCTTCTGGCCACTGGATGGATGCTGGCCCTTCTCTCTCATCCACAGGCAGGATGTGAGAAGCAGAGTCAGCATTCTGTCAGCTTCTGCCTCACTTTTAGATCATGATTTTTCTGCCCTCCTCCTGGAAGGCCAGACCGGCAACCACAAAACCATCCAAAGCCCAGGACTCATCCCTCACTGCCGAACCTGGCTGCCAGGTCACTCACCCACATTCACTGAGCTTTTAAATCCCCGGCTCATTCTCCTCCCAGCCACTAGAATCCCACCATCATCCTGGGGAGTGCTGGTGCTTAGGAGATGTCTCATCCAGCACTCCAGCCCCACAGCTCCATGACCTGTATTCCCTCTTTCCGTGGGAAACCTGGGTCCTGCCCTCAGGAACTCATCAGAGAAGGGAAGGTGCACTGAGGGCCTTAACAGGTGTTCAGTTCTGACACAGAAGAGTGTGAAGAGAGAGGACACAAAGCAGGGGGTGGTCAGTTCCACCTAACAGAATCAGGGAAGTCTTCGTAGAGGATCTGATATCTTCTAGAAGAAATAGGTTTTCACCAGGACCATGGGAAAAAAAGGGAGGGGTTAAGAAGACACCATCTCAGTAAAGGCACAACACATGTAACCACCTGGCAGAATTGGTGGCACAGGGAGCCAGAAGGCTGCAAGCAATCGAGTATGGCTAGAATATAAGGTTCAAGGAGGAACATGGCTACAGAGAGGAGCAAAGGGCTAACTGGACATTACCTGGCAGACAGCAGCCAGTGAAGCAGGAGAAGGACACAGTCTGATAAGAGTTTAGAAGATTCTCTTTAGTAGCAGAATGAAGGTGGAACAAAAACAGATGAGAAGAGGCAGGGAGACCAGTGCAGAGGCTCTGCAGTGGCCAGTCTAGAGGTGATGGAGGTCTGAGCTAGGGAACATGGTAGAGAGGAAGGGCCAGACACAGAAGTGATCTCTGGGTGGGCAGGGCTTGGCGACTAAGTAGCCTTGGGAAGGTGGTGGGTGGGGGAACTCAGGTTGCCAACTTGGTGACCTGGTGGTGTCATTCACTGGGATCAGGTTAGGGAGGACAATAAGCCCTGTTCCAAGCAGAGTGAATTGGAGGTGCAGCTGAGAAACCTATAGGTGGACACATTTAATAGGCAACAGGATAGGTGGGTCTGATGCCAGGGAAGAAGACTAAGTAGAAGTTCCAGATCTGGGAGCCATCAGGGTGGAAGTGAATGCTGGCACATGGGAGTAGATGAGATCACCTCAGGAAAAAAAAAGGGTGGAGTGAGAAGAACAGGGCATGGGAGAGTCACACCTACAGCTAAGGGCCAGCAGAGGAGCTTGGCAAGCAGGCAGACCCAACAGTCCCGTCCAGCAAAAAGCAGATTCTCAGGTCAAACATAGACCCACACTTGGATTAAATTTGTACATTTCAGATCTACGGCATAGTCAGCTCTATTAGAATCAGCTAACAGGGGGTCCAACACATACATAGTCTCACTTCTCTCTCCAAACTTCCTTTCTCCATGCTTGTATTCATATCCCTTGGTCACAGAATCTCAAGGTTAAAAATTCCTTAAAAATCATCAAGCCAAACCCTCCAGCCAAACCAGTGTACACATCCCCCCTAAAAAAGATGACTTGTGCCAGCCCATCTCTGTTTCTGAAGTGTCTTCACACCCACCTTCTCCCTCCAGGCCCAGCTCCAAACCCACAGTCACCCCTACCCACCCCATCTGCCTGCAGTCATTCTCCTCAGCCGACTAACGTGCAAATGCTGTTCAGCATGTCCTGCCTCATAGTGTCATTGTTTTTCCATTTTATGCTGTTTCCTGTGTCCAATCAGACGGCAATACAGAGAATGTTAGCTATCACTTACTGAGCACTCATGTGTCAGGCCCTGTGACAAATGCTTTCCGTTCATTATCCGTTTTAGGGGTCCCACTAACCCACTGAATAGGTACTGTTATCCCCCGTTTACCAGAGAGAAAGGTGGTGCAACTTAACGAAAAACCCAGAGCCCAGGAGGGCCCCAGCTGCGATGTGAGCCCGGACAGTCTAACATCAGCAGCCAAACTGCCAGCGTACAAATCCTCACCACTTTGCATTTTCACTGCCTTGTGTGCACCAGATGTTTCCTCCCGATGATGTTACGAATATAATCTTGTCAAGTTTTTGAGTCTGAAGGGACCTTCAAGTTTATCTCACTTTACAGATGAGGAAGCTAAGAGCCAATCAAACTGATTAACTGCTACAATCCTAATGGAATTTAATCTGACCAAGACCTCAACACATGAAGCAAGGAGTAGAAGTAGGCAGAATGTGGGGTTTTCAGTCACGCCGGAGACCTTCCAACTCTAATGCCACTGGATCCGCCAGTCCGGCCCCTTCCCACCAGCCCAGCATGTGACTGAGAGCTTGGAGTCAGAAACACAAGGTCTGAATCCTCAGCTCTGCCCCTTATGAACTGGCTGGCCTTGAGGAACTGTTTTAACCTCTGAGCCGCCGATTCCTCATCTGTAAAATGAGGGTAATGAGGATCTTATAGCTCAAGCCTCACAGCTGTATGGAAGGTTAGCAAGGAAGCAAGTGGGTGTGGGATTTGGAGTCATCCTGGGGTTTGAGTCTAGTCCTGTCTCTTATTGTTCTCTTTGGGCAAGTCACTCCACTCTGTGAACCTGAGCCTCCTCATCTTTAAAAGCAGGGATAGCATCACTCACCTGGAAGATTTGCTATGTGGCTCCAAAGAAGTTCTGTTTGTAAAAAGCACTCTAACTCGTCAGGGGCTAGTTCTGGTGACTTTTCTCTCACTGTCATCAGGTCACTAGGTAGCATTCCCACGCCATTACACGTGTTCCATCTTCAGAATGCTGATGTCTATGGACATATGCCAAGAGAAATGACAATAAGTGTATTTTTTTCCCAGGTGTCCATATTTCTAAAGGACAGAGTTCAGAATTCTAATGGCCGCTTTGTATTGCCCGTGTCTGGGCCTGTTCCCTGGGGAACTGAAGTTCCTGGACTCATCAGGTGAATTCTCAACAGTCACTATCAGACCAATGTTTGGAGTTTCAGGAAGCCAATACCTGGGCCACCCCATAGAAAGCAGCCCTTCTGAGGCCCCTCCCTTTCTTCAGCGAAGCACAGCAGTGAGGAGGTCAAGTTCTAATCCAGTCTGTCACTGAGCAGACACTTGAAGCAAACCACCTAGTTCTCCAGGATTCATTTCCTCACCTACCGAATCATTAACTGTGAGGATGAATAAGACAATAATGCTCTAAAGGACTACCCAGCACATAACATGTACTCAGTAAATATCATTATTACTATATTACTGTCATGACCTCCACCAGCATCTTAATCTTGAAGCAGTGCATGAATTCCCTTTTGTCCCATAGTACAGGAAATAAAGAAGTATCCGGGACATTCCAAGCTTGGAGAACACTGCAGCATGTCCTGCTCTGTATTGTAGAATGTTCAACCGCAAAGGCGAAGAAGTGAGGAAGGCAGAATTCAAGCATGGCGGGAACTATGTCGCGGCCCCCAAAGAAGGGTCCTTTGAACTCTATGGAGACCGAGTCCTGAAACTGGGAACTAACATGTAAGCAAATCTCCCTCCCCGAATGGATCCAAGTCCAAGGGCAGTCCCTTCATTTAAAAAACCAGCTTGACTTCTGCTATGAAAAAAATCCCTGCTGACAGTTGGAGGAATTCCCCCTTAGTTACACACGGCATGTAGAGCCCCGACGTATCCAAAGGGCACCTCAGATCTCCCAACATAAAGTAAACTCAACAGATTGAAAAGATAAATAATTTTAAAGAGCCACGCGAGAGAACCCGCCAAAACCTTGGTTGCAATGGCGATCCCAGAGGGCTTGGCTTTCATGTGCCATTCACATTACTTTCAGCAATACACATTACTTTGCAAGAGGAGGCATTTCCACACAGCTTCCCAGGTATTTTGTTTTGGGAAGAAATGAAACGTGAGTGGTTGACACCCACTTAGTTGTATTCTGTATTCCCAGCACCTTTCTGGATGCTTTGTCACACCTCGAACTAAAAGCTCTGCGCTATATTCACAAGTTAGAGGGACGTCAGGGTCAAAGGGCTGGACAAAGTTATCGCGGTTCTCTGTTGACACCAGGTACAGTGTGAACCGGCCCGTGGAAACCCATATGTCTGGAGCATCCAAGAACTTAGCTTCACAGACACAGGTGAGCTTCTGCCTCCCTTACTTATCTTCTTAGAGCTTATTTCAAGATACAAGAGTCTGGACGTGGAGAAGAGTGGGAACTCTAGATTTCAAAGCTGGCCAACTTTACCCTCGTTGTTTGTAGTCTTCTCAGTTCCGCCTCACCAGTACACAGGTTTTTAATTATAGTTTCTCATGGAGACTTCCCGCGATCTGACTAATTAGGTAATTTTAGGCTTGGCTCCACCACCGTAATTAAGCAGGAACCACACACCAGGACATGTGAAATAGCATTTGTACCAGTGCTCCTAGGCCCGTGGTTGCTGAGTTCAGCAGTTGGGTGTATTCTGACCATTAAAACATCCCTTTTCAGTGCTTCCCTGTGTAATGATGTGGAAGCTAACTTCAAAATGGGGGTTGGGGTTCTCTAAATTCTGTTTTACAAATTTTCACTGAACTAGCTACCAGCTAGCTGGAGGACAAATGACAGAATATTCAGTTATTCGGCAAAATTCTGTGGGCTAGGTACTCAGGACGCAGAGCTGGCTTAGATGTGGTCCCATCCTGAAGGGGCTTGTAATACACTGGAAAGACAGTGGTAGGAACACAGAACCATAACATGGCAGAAAAAGACTCGCTGGGCATCCTAAGCAAAGTACTGTGCCCAGAACACATGTCCTGTCCAGAGTGTGCAAGCAGGGGACAGAGGTCAAGAAGGCTTTTCAGAGGAGGTGACGTTCAAGCAGGGTCCAGAATCAGGAAGATACGAAACAGCCGAGAAGGAGAAATAGGCATGCAAACCAAGGTCAGAGTACAAGCAGAGGCACCCAGAGGCACCCAGAATCACAGTGTTCAGGGGAAGCAGGGAGCCCGCGTCTCTCCCACGTGGCTAGATCATAATGCAGTAGAGGCAGCGGCCAGAGATTTGGCTGGACAGGGTCACCAGGGCCAGATTCAGAAGGGGCTGAAACAATGTGGATTCTGTCCTTTAGGCAGGAGGCAGCGGGGTTTGTCTCAAGCAAGGGAGAAGTGAGATGAGGACCACATTTTGGGTAACTGGCAGCAGAGTGACGGAAGAGGCAAAGCAGGAGAAGGCTGGTCTAGAGAGAGCCAGTCAGGAGGAGGGGTGAAGGCTGCGGTGGGGCCAGGCCAGGAGAGCGGGAGCCATAGGAGGGAAGGGATTCGGGGGTGTATACTCGGGTCACCACCTGAGGGCAGTGTGGGAGTGCCTGCGGAACGAGTGCCCTCGGACCTGGATCCTTCACCCAGGCTGCTTGTAGATGCCGAGGGAACTAGACTGCCTGAAGAGGAACAAAGAAACATTCTTCTCCTTCAAGGAGGAAGGCAGTGCGAGGAGAACGGGGTCCCTGGGGCCTTCTACTCCTCCGGAAAGCGTTGACTGTCTCTGGTGTGTCGCCTTGCTAGAGTCCCTCTGGTTCTGACGTGGATTATTTCTGTTTTGGTTAAGCCTGTTTCCTATGCTTCATTTGGATCCAGTTCTTCCCAGTTATTGTTCTGCCTTGTTTAGTAACACCACCCTGGGTCTCTGGGGGTCTCAACTGGAAACCGATCACCTTCATGTGGCTAAAAGTCATGAAACTGTCTCTACAGGAAAGCATTGCTCCCAACCCTCTTGCTAAAGAAGAACTGAATCTCTTGGCCAGGCTGATGGGAGGGATGGAGATTAAGAAACCCAGTGGCCCTGAGCCAGGATTCCGGTTGAATCTCTTCACCACTGATGAAGAGGAGGAGTATGTTTACAACTTGTTTCTTTAAAGACATATATAAAAATCTTAAGTGTGATAAGAACCCAAAAATGACCATTATAAACCAATGACACTTCTCAACACAGAGGTGAAGATCACAATGAAGTACCAGCAAATTCAATAACCTAGTTAAAGAAGAATCCACGAGCATTAAATAGCCTGAACCTTCTGGATTCATTCAAAAAAATAGTTCTAATGTTTTATTTAGCAAAGCACAGTTCAACAAGAGAATGAGAAGTCAAGAGAATCATATTAAGAAAAGACTGTTAAGATATTAGAAGGAGGTTGGAGCAGGATGTCTTTAGGATTAGACAGTATGCCCAAAACCAATAGCAATAGTAATTCACAAAGTTTTTAAAGTGCTTTACAGTTTACAGAGCACTTCTGCATTCATTATCTCGCATGCTCCTCCTCACAAAATATTTGGGGTGGGGGTTGCCTTCCCTCATCAAATTGGCAGGTATTGTGGTAAGTGTCAGGATCCAGAGAAGGAGTGTAAGACCTGGAGCCTGTCCTCAGGTGCTCCCAGTGTCCTGGGAGCGTGAACATGTGCACGGGTCATTCCGGCACCATGTCGTAACCATGATGGAGGACACAACTGACTTTGCACCAGCAGATTGAAGGAGTTGGCAACTAAGCTGGGTCCTAGAGTCTGCCAAGCAGAGGAACGGGAAAAACATTCTTGGCAGAGTTCAGTATGTGCCAAGGCACACAGACATAAAAGGACCTGACTTCCTGGAGTGTAGGGTGCATTGGTGGGGATAGCATAGAAAGCTGAAGAGAAAGGGCAGAAGATGAGGCAGAAAAAATAGATTGCCAAATTACCAAGGGCCAGTTTGCCACGCTAGCAGGGAGAAAACTTAACCTTCATCCATTTCTCTATCATCTCGTGCAGACAAGCAGCATTAACCAGGCCAGAAGAGTTATCCTACGAAGTTATCAACATCCAAGCTACTCAGGTGTGTGCAGGGGATTACACAAGACAAATCTTATTCCCCTCCTCCTCTTGCAGTAATCTTGAACTTCAAAGGCCCTCCCTTCTCCTATCTAATCAGCACTTAACTATAGTCCCTATTCTGACAAATAGGTGAGGGACTGAAATTCATCACAGTGGTGGGATGAAAATTAACTACCAGCTGCACAAAGAGGCTGCAGTGCCAACATCCTCCTCATTCCCTTCCACGTCTCGTTTCTCTCACAGGACCAGCAGAGGAACGAGGAGCTGGCTCAGATCATGGGGGAGTTTGAGGTCATGGACCAGCCGAGGCGGATCACCAGCAAGGGCGATGATTTGCTCGCCATGATGGATGAGCTGTAGATGTGCTGAGCGGGCACGTCCCTCCCCCTATGCAGAGGATGCTGGATGAGGACCCCGGGGGGCCCCCCAGGGAGCCAACTGATGCTGCTAGTTTTCTACTGAGTGAAGCCCTTACCTCTTGTTCCTGTTTAGGTAGGAACGAACTGTGCGGGTCCCCCTCCGGGAGCACTCTTCTCTGGAAAGCACACACATACACCGATTTTCAGCAAAATATATTCTGGCTTTTAAATTGGACCGTTCCCACTTTCTTTCTGGTTTTATGACAGTTGTGCAAAGCATCCGGGGCCATAGTTCAAGCCCCAGGGTCAGTCAGAGGGCACTCCTGTTGCCGTTTTCAGTTACAGCTTTGCTGAGAGGACCACAGCTGCCCATGAATCATCATGAAACTTCAGAGCTTTCTGGGATGTGTTCTGCCTTGTGAGTCTGACACAAGTGGGAAAGGTAGTTGCTTCAAACAGCCAGGGCCCAGTGTAGACAGCCCTCCTCTCTCAGGCACCCTGGGAACTGTAACCTCAGAGGCAGAGTAAGCAAGGCCATGACAGGCCTCACACAGCGCATGTGAGTGTCTGCAGTTCTCTGCACATTTCTCTCTCCATATGTGGTGTGGGCTTATTCCAC